CAAGATATTCTTTGTACAATAACGAAAATCCGTACAAAGTCCAATTTTGTTCTCTCTGAACTTCACAAAAAAATTTGTTGAGATCCAAATTGCAGAACGATGATTATATAAAAAATGTTGAAAATGAAGTCACGAGAAAATATTGCTTTTCTCTACCGAATTTGCTGTCTTGAAAGATAAACAAGGACGAAGTTTCTCACTTTCGTCGTCGAGGTCTCCGTTAATTTAAAAACTCAGGACGAAACCTGATAGAAACGAATCGATCGCTCTGTTTGCTTAACCCTTGATTCGCGAAACGAATTTTCTAACCGAGAGAGAGAGAGAGAGCGAGAGTGTATGTTTGTACGGTGTCGAGACACGTAATAATTTTATACGACTCGAATCGCTTTCGAGTTCCCTTCGCTTCAACGATCACGTGAAAGTGTTCTCTCGGCAGCATCGAGCGGTCGCGGTTATAAACTAATTGTAAATTTTAGGTATTACCACGCGTATAATACAACAAAAACCGAGCGAGAGTGAGAGAGACCGTGAGAGAGAGAGAGCGTGAGAGAGTGAGAGAATGCGAGAGAATCGTGAGACAGAGAGCGAGAGGCGAGGCGTATTATCACGAGAGGAGAGGAAGAATAAGAAAAGTAACAAAACAAAAAAAAAAGTAATATGATAATACACATAACGACATACTATATTGTAATATTATTTTTCGAACATAGCAATGTAATGTAGATATATATAAATATAAATATAAATATAAATTAAGGTAGTCCAGAAGCGTTGGCGAGTCGAGTGGCGCGCGGTCTCAACACATATTTTTACCAAGCTTTTTCGAACAAATTAACCCCGAACGATTCCTAGACACGGGACTCGACGAAAGAGAAAATGGAGACGGTCACGTGGCCGCGCGCCACTTCCGCTTCCGCCTCGATTCTTTTAGTACGCGACCACGGATCGGTCGTCGAGACCGCAACGAAAAGATGGCGGATGGACGACCGAGCCCTCGGTCGAGTTTCAATTCGGTCGACACCGAGAAACGGAAGAGTTCTCCGTTTCTCGGCCTCGGCCCCAGGTCTGCGTATCCTAATTTTTCAATGTCCCCGCGAGGACAAAGGATCGAACAGAAGCGTGTACAGCGGGGGTGGTTGGTTTACTGTAACACGAATAAAAGGAACGTGAGAAAAAGCGAAGTCAGTTCCCGGATCCCGCTTCCTTTCACCATCCCTGATTTTTGTGATCGTCGCCCGTTTCTTCGACCATGTAGCTGTAGCTCCCCCGAGTATGTCGGCGAGGTTATGAGCGAGCGTGACGACAGGATTTAAATCGACGATGCGTTCTTTTCTACGACACGATATTGCTCGAACGAAACGTGGTTTTTAATGTAATACTATTGTTAAGTTAAAAAAAAAACGATCACATCGAATGAACGGATGCGAGCTGGATCGTTTTCAATTGCCCTCTGTTTTCGTTCCTTTTGTTTCTTCGTTTGGTCCGAACCGTTTCGTTTCACCGCGCACTTGTTACATTCGTCGTTTTAGCGACGCGAATATTTATGCTGGCATGCAAAACTGTGGGTGAGGAATCAAGAACGAGAAGCTGGATATTATTCGATTTCCTGCGAGGCGTAAGCTGCTCGTTGTACGTTCTTTTTTTTTGGATTTCTGTTGTACGTTTACGTTCGGCCATTTTGCATTCTCGCGAGAGAACAGGAAAATGGACGGGATGGTTTTATTCGGACGAGATGTGTGAATAGATACGAGGATGAAACGATAATTGTCCCGATACGAGCAGCTTGTGCGTTGCTTCTAATAGGAAAGAGGAAATAATACAGATAAACTGTACGGACTAGGGGAAAAATTAACATTGTGATGTTTACTGATCAAATATGTCGAAAAACGAAAAAAAAAATGAAAGAAAAAAAAGGAAAAAAAGAGAAGGCCCACTGGTTGAGGCCCGACATTTCTGAATACACTATAAATAATAAATATTACGTAAAATTTACCTGTAGTTTAAATGCTTTTATTCTACATCTTATTTTCAGGTGCAGTAGATTTAAGAGACAGTAAGTTACTTTTTCATTTTTAGACAAGTTTTTTATTTTCTTTCTGGTGGTTTGTATCGTTGAGTGTTTAAGTAAGGAGGGTGTTGAATGAAATGTGTATTTTATTTTTGAACTATCAAATTTCTATATTGAGTCATCAAATTAGTTAAGTCATCAAGTTTCGGGTTCCTATATTTCTGAGATTATGAAATTTCAAATTTATTAAATTTTCAAATTTTTAATTTGCCTACTCTTGAAATGTCTACATTTTTAAATTGACTTCTCCAATTTTTTAATTAAATAGTTACCAAATTATTGAATTTGCAAGTTCCCAGTTTCAAAATTTGCAAAATTTTCCAGTTTCCAAATTTCTAAACTTTCAAGTTTAAAAATTGCTAAATTTTCTCATTTGTAATTTAAATTTGGCCAACTTAACAAATTCTAAAACCTCTAAATTTGCAAATTTCTAGATCCTCAAATTTCTAAATTTTAAAATTATCAAGCTTTTCAGTATAAAAATTAAATAATTAATTAAATTGTCAAAGATCAACATCTGCAAATTTCCAAAACCTTAAATTTCTAATTTTAATATTGCTAACTTTTCAAATTTTATAAATTAAGAAATTACTAAATTATTAAATTCTAGAATCCCTAAATTTACAAATTCTCAGAAATTTAAAAATTTTTAAATTGTCTAACAGTAATATGATAAAATAGTATGTATCATAATATTTGCTAGTTTGAACAAAATATTTTGCTTCGACATTTTCTTTTATCATGAAAAATAAGCAAGGTACTTAAAATGGCCAAATTTCTTAACCACCATAATGTTTATTCAGTTGAAAAAAATATTATTCTTTGACATTTTCTTTTATTATGAAAAATTAACAAAGTACTCAAAATGGCCAAATTCCTTAACCACCATAATATTTGTCTGTTTGAACAAAATATTTTCTTTTATTATGAAAAATAAATAAGATATTCAAGATGGCTACGTTATGGACACCTTGTGAAGTGAAAGAAAATTTACTAACATCTCATACATTAAAAAAAGCAATTAAATTAATTCGTAATAATAATTGTATACTTAACATTGTATTCACGTGTCACCTACTTAAATATTTCTAGTACGTTATTTCTAATATTTCTATCGTTAAAAAGTAACAAATCTTTCTGACCAACAGTCAGTAAAACAGAAATGATAAATGCATTGCACTTTTAAACTTGATATAGTATATATATTCCCTAGGTTTTATAGTTCTATTAGTTTCTTAATTTGTTTTGACCCTCGTGTAATAGTCTGATTGCTATTGGATAAACGTTGAAATAGTGCAAGATGATTGACCAATCAGCCATAATTCAGCGCATAAACAGAGTTTGCTGGCGTCATTGATAAGCCGCGACTGCGCGTTGCCGGAAAATTTTTAGCGTCTGTAAGATACGTTTATGGAAAATTTCCTTGAAGTTGGCTGCGGATATCTCGTACGAAATGCGAAGTAATTTGTGCGAATTTAACGGAGGTAAGTTTTAATAAATAATAATTTTGTATTGTTTTCTTATGGACTTTGTATGTATGAACTTCGAAATGTTTGAAGATAGATGCTTTAAATAAAGTTTAAATATATTTAAGTTTCCGGATTCAATGATTTTTAAATTTTGTTAAATCATGAAATTTTAAAATCTTCAAGTTTTCTGACTTTATCCGATTTTTTAAATTTGTTAGTTCTATAATGTAAAAATTTCAAAATTTAATCAAGTATAGTTGCCAAGTTTTAAATATTAATATATTCAATTTTAAATGGCACAATTTAAAAATTTATAAATTTATGATTATTAAATCTCTAAAATTAAATTCTTAAATTTTCTTCCCTCTAAATTTGTCAAATTAAAATTTTCAAATAGATAAATTGAAAAATTTAACAATTTTTAAATTTGCAGTATCAAATATTTTAGTTTTCTTATTTTGAAATTTTTCACCTTGTAAATTACAAATTTCTTAATTATTAATTTCTAAAACTAAAAGGTTATAACCAATTTCTTTAATTTGTGCAATTACTTAGAGTAATCAAAATTTTTAGATTTCTCAAATTTCTCCAATTTTTTAGATCTCTCAAATTTTTCAAATTTCTTAAATTTCCCAAATTTCCCAAATTCCTCAAGTTTTTTAAATTTCTCAAATTCCTCAAATTTTTTTAATTTCTCAAATTTTTAGAATTTCTCAAATTTCTCAAATTCCTCAAATTTTTAGAATTTCTCAAATTTCTTAAATTTCTTAAATTTCTCAAATTTCTCAAATTTCTCAAATTTCTCAAATTTCTTAAACTTTTCAAATTTCTCAAATTTCTCAAATTTCTTAAATTTCCTAAATTTCTTAAATTTCTTAAATTTCCTAAATTTCCTAAATTTTTAAATTTCTTAGTTTTCACAAATTTAAATATTTTCAAGTCTGAAGTTCCCAAATTTCTGAATTCTCAATTCGCCCAAATTCCCATATTCTAAAATTCTAAAATTCTAAAAGTCGCAGATTTTCAAATCCTTCAATTCCTAAATTCTCAATCTTCTGAATCCCTAAATTCCCAAATGTGCAAATTTCCATGTTTCTAAAATTCAAAAAGTCTCTACCATCCAAATTAACAAACTTGTAAATTCCAAATCCTCCATCTCCCAAATTTCTAAAATTCCGTATTTAAAAATCCTCCACCTTCCAAATACCTAAAATCCAAAATTCAAAATTCCTTCCCCTTCCAAACATCCCAACTTCCCAACTCAGAAAGTCCCAACCTCCCAATTCCCAAAACTGCAGCCTCCAGAAAGGAGCCCACACCTATCCCCCATCTCACATTTTCCCTAAGGAAGGCAGGCTTGCTCCATCCGCACGTCGATAAACGTTTCGTACTGAGCGTCCGTGCTTCGAATCGGAGCATGCGTTCTAACGACCGTCGTTCGAACAGAAACAGAGCGATATACAGAGAGAGACAGCCATATGTATGCAACTTCAGACAGTGCAGCGGACCTTCCATCGCAAAGTCGCAAGAGTACGTAAGCATTGCACGTAACTGAACGAACTGGTGAGAAACGTTCGTCGAGAATTTCTATCGGTGAGGAAAAATGTGCCGGTGCTGTCCGGGTGTTGTTGCGTCTCCGACGAGAAATCACCAGAAATTACCAGGCTAGGACGAGGATCAGTCGATCCGACGACTGCATATCGACACCGTAATTGGTCCGACAACATACGTACAAAGTTACATGGCGAGTTATTCGCGGGGACGTTCCTCCCGACAATCCGAGTGAGTGACACGCAATTATAGTTTGATCCGGTGATATAACGCGATGCTTTTTGCCTTCGATCTGACTGCAACGCATGTTAGTGCTGTGGCTACCTAACGCATTCCTCCTGCAATGTGTCACTTTGCCATGTAATAGGATTTTTAGTTCCGCATGTTTGCCTACTAGCGTTGGTAAGTTGGTATAAGTGCATTTGAACGGTGGAGCGTTCACTCTTTCTATATGGCACTTGACCTGACGCTAATTTGGTTCGAGTGGGAATTTGTAAATGTTGGTAGTACAGTGTGATGCTTTGATGAGTAATTGGATTTTTACTTATTCTAGTTTTTTAGTAGCGTTACCGACAAGTTGGTGTAAGTGTATTTGAACGGTGGAACGTTCACTCTTCCTATATGGCACTTGACCTGACGCTAATTTGGTTCGAGTGGAAATTGTAAATTTTGATAGTACAGTGTGATGCTTTGATGAGTAATTGGATTTTTACTTATTCTAGTTTTTTAGTAGAATTACCGACAAGTTGGTATAAGTGTATTTGGACGGTGGGACGTTCGCTCTTTCTATATGGCACTTGACCTGACGCTAATTTGGTTCGAGTGGGAATTTGTAAATGTTGGTAGTACAGTGTGATGCTTTGATGAGTAATTGGATTTTTACTTATTCTAGTTTTTTAGTAGCGTTACCGACAAGTTGGTGTAAGTGTATTTGAACGGTGGAACGTTCACTCTTTCTATATGGCACTTGACCTGACGCTAATTGTTATTGTTCAAGTAGGAAATTGTAAATTTGATGTTACAATGTGAAGATTTGATGAATAAGTGGATTTTTAGTTCTTCTAATTTTTTCCCAACGTTGGAACAAGTGTATTTGAACGGTGGAACGTTCACCCTCCCTATATGGCATTTAATTTGTCCTTGTTCGAGTAGAAAATTGTAAATTTGATATCACAACGTGACGATTTGATGAATGAGTGAATTTTTATTTCTTCTGGACTTTCACTAACGTTACCGATACATTGGTGCAAATGTATTTATTTGCGCGATGAAGCGTTGACTCTCTTTATATGGCCTTCATCTCCTTAGTTTTATTTCTCCTCATCAAAGATTGTTTACGAATCTATCCTTACAAGATGTGTCGGTTTCCTAAATAATTAGTCTTTTATTTCAAGTTTTGCTAACGTTTCTAATACACCAATGTAATCATAATTGGCAATATAACGCATTGTTGACACTTCCTACATGGCATCTACGATCTATCTCTAATTTTGAATATTCAAATAAAAAATTGTTTATAAATTTGATGTCACAGTGTGTAGTTTTGCTAAATAAGTTGATTTTTCTTTCAAGATTAGTGATATTTCTGATACGTCGCTGTAATTGTATTTAGGCGATATAGCCCGTTGTTGACATTTTCTATATAGCCGCTATGATTTGTTACTATTATTAGTTGCCTGAACAGGAAATTATTTGCAAATTTAATATTGTAAGGTGGGCATTTACTAAATAGGGGAGGTTTTTGTGTTATAGTTCTGGGTTATGTTGTCGCCATGTTATGTTTTCTTTTGAGCCGTTGTTGATCTGACACCTCGCGTCTTCGTTCAAATGTTTGATTGCGAAAGCTGGAGAGTTTTTAGGTATTTGAGAGTAAGGATAATGTAGATGTACTTTTGAATTATTTTTATTTAAAAAATGTTCAAGTTTGTTGTAGGATAAGAGGTTAAGGTTCAGTTGATTTGATGTAGTAGGTGTAAGAATTTTGTAATTTGGTGATTTGATAGTTTTGTAATTTTCTAATGTGGTAATTTTGTAATTTTGCAATTTTGTAATTTTGTAATTGTCTACTTTGATAACTTCATAATTTGACAACCAACAATTTTTAATAATCTCAAAAATTGGAACTTGAGAAATTTGGAAATATAAAAATTTGCAACACATGAATACAGAAACTTGATATTTTTCAAATTTTAAATACAGAAATTTAGTCATTCGTAAATTCGATAAATCTTAATTTTGATAATTTCTTGTTAATTTATAAGATAATTTACTAAATCAATTATATAAATATATATCGTGTTTGGATACTATTATCCAACCAATATTGATTTTAAGCCTGTTACCCAATACGCGGTTCCTTAGTATGATCCGGTTACAACGCGAGTGTCTTTGCTCATAGGGCAAGAAAATGTATTTCTTTTGCTTCCCCTAATAATATCTGTTTTCTAATAAACAGAGAAGCTTGGAATCATTATTTTTTTAGTTGTAAACTATGTAAAAATTTTTTTAAGTTTCAAAAGTTACCCTGAACTTTTATTTTTTTGGTGCCAGATAAATTTTCACTTTTCGAAGATATAATAAAAATTATATAATTCAATTTTTCTTATTGATAAACATACATAAGGAGGACTATATTTGTATTGTATGTATGGTAACTTATACGTTTAGTGTTTAATATAAATAATTAAATTTATTACTTACAAATAGCATTTAATGTAAATACTTAAATTTGTTACTTGCAAATAGTATTTAATACAAGTACTTAAATTTATACCAATTCCTTAAATTTTAATAACAATATAACTTCTGTTAGCATCATTAATTTCTGTAAAGTTAAAATGAGTGCTGGAAATGTCATAAAGTTCTACAAATTTTGTGTACGATAAGTTTTATAAATTATCAGAAATTCGTACAAGTTTTATAAATTATAAAATTTATCGAATACGTATTTCAAAATTTAGAATCTTAACTTAATTTAGACTTAAATATTAATGCCAAAAATAAATATTTGAAGAAATACATTCACTTCAAAATTAACTATTAATATCAAATACAGATTTACCACTAAACTTATTTAAGAATAAAATTATATATAGAATGAAGTTATTAAGCGAATCCCCTAAATGTTCATTCATCCTCAACAATACCACTTCTATCTTCTGTCTACATTAATTAACTCCTTAATTAAATTCCCTTCAGTGACACGATGGACGATGACGTTGACGATAAGGATGACACAAAACGGTGAGCCATAATTTTTCAATTAAAAAAAAAGAAAACTTTGAAAATCGTTACATCCACATCTACTATTAAATAATCTTTCCACCAGGAAATCACGTAATTTAAGCGAAAAAAAACGTCGTGATCAGTTCAACATGCTCGTTAACGAGCTAGGAAGCATGGTGAGTTCGAACACACGGAAAATGGACAAATCTACCGTGTTGAAGTCGACGATCTCGTTTCTGAAGAATCACAATGGTGAGTCGTTTAGGAATTATATACTAAAAATTATTTCCATTTTTGTTTTATTAATTTTTTGTATTAGGTAATATTTTTAGTGTTGTCAGTTTACCTTAACAATTTTTAGTTACAAATTTTACTTGAATTGGTGAATTTTACTTACAAATTTTACAATTCTACAATTTCATAACTCTACATTTTCACAATTCTATGAATTCAGAATTCTGCAATTTCAGTATTCGACAATTCTGAACCTCTAAAGTACTATAATTTTACCATTCTAAACCTCCAAAACGGTAAAACTTTATAACAATTCCTCAATTCCACAATTTCACATTTCACAACTCTACAATTTCACAAATCTAGAATTCTACAATTCCACAATTCCACAATTATACATTTATACAATTCCACAGTTCCACAATTCCACAATTCCACAATTTCACATTTCACAACTCTACAATTTCACAAATCTAGAATTCTACAATTCAACAATTCCACAATTATACAATTATACAATTCCACAATTCCCCAATTCCACAATTTTAGTTGATTTATTGAATTTTAGTTACAAATTTTACTTCAATTGTATTTTACTTACAAATTTTATTTGAATTATTGAATTTTACTCACAAATTTTACTTGAATTGTTGTATTTTAGTTACAAATTTTACTCGAATAACTTGAATTCTTTTGAGGTTTCTACTTTATTATTTATTTCCACTATTGTATGTTCCACTATATTTAGACATCAATATGTAGTACTACAGATTTAATTAAAAAATATTTCGTTGTATTGTAACTAAAAATATTTTTAGTGACTTTTCACAACAAGTGACTTACAAGTGACTTTTCAAGTAAAATCTATTCAAAAGGAATCTGTAAAAGAATAGTTCTATTAAAAACTAATATATCAGGATGAACGCGTTGTCCGCCATTTTTCTTTACTGCCTGCCGTTCTTTCGCGACTCTCACTTTTGACTCACAGCTCTAATTTGAAAAACCTTACTCAAATTTATAATACTCCTTAATTTGAAATTGAAGTTTAACTAAAATTTGTATAGACAAGAATCACTGAATATAGAATACTCAAATTTTAATTTTCTTTGTTTATTTTATTATAGCTTAGTTTTAACTGACGCATCTGACAAATAAATTGTACGACAAGGGTTTCGTTCGAATTCTTAGTTCGTAGAATATTTTTCAATTAAAGTCTTAGTTAGTTATTTAAAGTTATATTAATGTATTAAAATTGACATCTCTATTATTTCTAAAATTGTACATAATTTAAAAAATTTAATTTTAATGAACATTAAAGGCTACGAAGTTTATCAAATATTATGAAGTGACTAAAATTGAAGCCAGTCCTGAAGTCGTTTCATACTCCTAATAATTAATTAAATAATGGTCTCAGGAATCTATTCAAAGTAATATTTAATAAAAAAATAACGAAACAATTTCTTTGTTACAGAAATAGCAGTAAGATCCAGGGTTCACGAAATTCAGGAAGATTGGAAACCATCGTTTCTTTCGAACGAAGAATTCACGCATCTGATATTAGAGGTACGAGAGTCTTGTTGTGCTTAATCGTCGAATCTAAAACAATATCACTGCTGACTCGATGTTTCAGATCGTTTTTCTTCTTCAGAAAATTAAGAACGAACACTGATATCGTTTAATTATGGCATTTCGAAATTTGCTTAAAAAATAATTTAACTCCTCACTTTTATTTGCATTATTAATATAATTGTCTGCATTATTCGAAAAATAATTGCAAATTTTTCTTTTTCAAAATTCTATTTTTCAAACTTTTTCAATTTACAATTTCTCTGAAAACTTTGCTGTGCATTTTTGTTTTTAAAATCGTGCAAAGATAATCATAAGTCACTCACTACAAATTAGTGTATCTTAAAATGAATCAATTTCATCAAACTTTAATTTTATCTTAATTTTAATCTGGTGCTAGTAAATCTACTAAATTATTTATTAAATCAGCAGAAATATCGACCACATTTAAGTAGTGGATTATCTACAAAATTATTTATTAACGTTATCGCTGAAATAAAACGATATCCAAGTTCGATTAGTAGCATGAATGTAAATGTTTCGTCGACTGATGTTGTTACTGATAAAAACACGAGCGACATTTCCTCAATATAGGCTCTGGACGGTTTTATAATGGTATTTTCTTCAAGCGGGCGCATTTATTACGTGTCCGAAAGCGTTACATCTCTGCTCGGCTATCTCCCAAACGAGTTAGAGAACACAACAATCTATGATATTACGTATCAAGAGGACCAATCATCGTTATACAACGTATTACTGAATCCTGTCAACACGAGGGATCGGCGGAATATTAAGAAAGGTAAATATTCACCCTCCGTTGCACCCTTCAACAGCAGATGATCTACTGAGCGCACGTGAACTTATATTCGCTGTACAGTCGAGTATGTGATATAGTTGGGTCGTAAAATGATTAATGAGATTAATAAGATTGTGAATTGATAGTAAGGTGAAATAGGAATTTAGAGCAGGGAAGTTTTTGGAATTTTTGATAGGTTACTCTTTTTGGAATTCCGTAGGTATTTTAGATAATTAAGGTATTCTATTAACTTCTAGTTACTAGAAATTTTCTGGATATTTCGTTGATTTAGATGGAGAGGACAATTTTGTGTCCACTGAAAGGACAATTTTGTGTCCACTGAAAGGACAATTTTGAGAATTCTAAGATCTTGACGTTGATCAAATTGGAGGGTACTGCTTTTATAAAGGTGAAATTTATGGGAATTTTATATTTCAAAATTTGGAGGTGATTAAGTTATCAAATTGGAAAACTCTAATATTCTAAAAGAATTTAATTTTAAAATTCTACGATTATAAAATAGTCTAATTCCGCTAATTCCTAATTCTACAATTTCACTGTTCTACAATTTCACAATTCTACGAATTCGGAATTCTAGAATTCTGAAACTGTAAAACACTATAACTCTACAATTCTAAAACTCGAAAACGGTAAAACTTTACAACACTACAATTTTACAAATCCACATTCCATAATTCTACAATTTCACAAATTTACAATTCCACAGTTCTACAATTCAACAGTTCCACAATTCTTCAATTCCACAATTCTACAATTCTACAACTCCACAATTCACCATTCCACAATTCTACAATTCTACAATTCCACAATGCCACAATTCCACAATTCCACAATTCCACAATTCCACATTCCACAATTCCACAATTCCACAATTTCACAAATCTAGAATTCTACAATTCCACATTTCTGGAACTCCACAATTCTACAATTCCACAATGCCACAATTCCACATTCCACAATTCTACAATTTCACAAATCTAGAATTCTACAATTCAACAATTTCACAATTCCACAATTCCACAATTCCGTAATTTCACAATGTCACAGTCCAGAATTCCACCATTCCGCAATTCCACATTTCCGGAACTCCAAAATTCTACAATTTCACATTCCACAGATCTACAATTTCACAAACCTAGAATTCTACAATTCCACAATTTCACAGTCTAGAATTCCACCATTCCGCAATTCCACATTTCCGCAACTCTACAATTCTACAATTCGACTATTCCATTATTGCACTATTCTACAATTCTACAACTCCACAATTCCACAATTAAACATTCCACAATTCTACAATTCTACAATTCCACAGTACCACAATTCCACAATTTTGCAATTCCACAATTCCACAATCCCACAATCCAACAATTCCGCAATTCTACAATTCCACAGTTCCACAATTCCGCAATTCCGCAATTCCACAATTCTATAGTTCCACAATTCCATGAATCCACATTTCTATAATTCTACAATTCCACAACTCTACAAGTCTAAAAGTCTACAATTCCGAAATCAAAAAATCCTGAAATCCTAAAGAAATGGAAATTCTATTAAGTTGTATTCTATTGAAATTTGATCTGAAATTCTAAAATCACAAAGTTCCAAATTTAAAAAAATCCCAGAATAGCCCGGAACCTAAAATGCCCCACGTGAAAATTCTCTATATCTTCCTTAGAATCTTATAATATCCCAAAATTCTGCCTAAAAACACGTAAACAAAAAAATCCCACTGTTACACGTTTAACTAATTTGTGTTAGTTATAAAAGTCTAATATAAAAATTTTATTTGTTCAATTTATCTTCATTTATTCTTAGTTCTTATTTATTGTACTTACATATATCATGTACTCGACAATATGTCACACGTCTACAAATGCATTTATAATTAATAATTTGATTCGCAGAGGACCAAATATCCTTCTCGTGTCATATCAAGAGGGGCGGCCTAAATATCCAGGACAACCCGGTATACGAGCTTGTACAATTTGTTGGGTACTTTCGTGCGTAATTGACGATATTCCGTTTCGCATTTCTACGTACATCAACAATAAATAACATAGGTACATTGTTTTTTATTTCGTTTACAGGTTCCGATGTCGACACGGAGGTAGACAATTTATTACCGAACACGAAGTTCGGTAATACCACTGGAATTGATACAAAGTAATTACATTGCAAATTAAAACAAAGTCGGCCATTTAATATGCAACAGCCTTACATTGGGTTTAATACCAGAACAAATTCTCCGTTGTCTTTTAATTAATTTATTAATTCGTTCTTAATGTGAGACGAAATGTTCTTACTGTTTGCATAAGAGTAAAAGTCTTAGTGTAATGGGTAATTATGAATCACGATTAAAATACTTTTCTTTGTTATTGATAATTGTGGAAATAATTCATATAGTTTAGTTGGAAAGGTTAGGTCAAATGTTACATTTGCGATTTATATTTTTGGTGGAAAATTATTGTTGGATTATTTATTTATAATAGTGTTCGCTTTTTAAATAATTGTAAGTTTTTATTTGTACATATTTTATTACTTAACAGATTATGTTAACAATAATTTTTAAATAATAAATTGGCTGTAGCAGAAGCGTTTTGGTTTCATGATCTAAAGGCCCAGAGTTCAAATCTTTTTAATTCTTTTTTATTTTTTTTTTAGATTTTTTAAATATAGATTAAATATCACCGTTTAATAATATTTAACATTATATGTAAGGATATTTAACTTTGCAATACATCCTAAAAAATCGTAGCCACATTCAGACATCCACCAAATGTCCTAACGTTTCATCAGAGTGACAGCAAAAATAACATCTGATCTTAAACACGCAGATACCGTATCAAAGCACCTCCTACTATATCGCATTGCAGTGAACCCGCTTGTCTTGTCTTAGATTAGTTTTCGTGGGTACAGGACGTCTCCAAACGCCACAGCTGATCCGCGAGTTGTCCGTGATGGACAACACAAAGTCAGAGTTCACATCTCGACACAGTCTCGAGTGGAAATTTTTATTTCTGGACCATCGAGCACCACCCATCATCGGTTATCTTCCCTTCGAGGTTCTGGGCACGTCCGGATACGATTACTATCACGTGGACGATTTGGACAAGGTTGTCATGTGTCACGAATCGCGTGAGTATCAAAAATGAAGTGTCTGAGAAAGACAGAGACGATGAAGAATTTATTTACAGTTATGCAAAAGGGCGAAGGAACTTCCTGCTACTACAGGTTTCTCACGAAAGGCCAGCAATGGATATGGCTGCAAACTAGGTTTTACATAACCTATAATCAGTGGAACTCGAAACCGGAGTTCATTGTCTGCACGCACTATGTTGTTAGCTATATTGACGTTATTAAGGAACTAAGGAAGGAGTCGGAGAACTTCAATAAGGAACATAGTCAGGATGTTCTTATTCCTGTGAAGCAGCAGCAGGTGAAGCTATTTTGATGTTATGTGACGGCAATATATCGGGGGTGTGTTACTTTTAGTATGGTTGCTGTGTGTTTGCTTTATTTGTGGACTTTTTGAGGGGTTGTTTAGCGTCTCCACATCCTAGTACCTCCACATCCTAGTACCTCCACGTCCAAGTATCACATCTTAGTACCTCCTCATTCAATAACCACATCCTAGTACCTTCACATCCTAGTACTTCCACATCCTAGCATCTCCACATCCTAGTACCTCCACATCCAATGACTACATCCAATGACCACATCTAGTACCTCCAATGACCACATCCTAATATATTCACATCCAATGACCACATCCTAGTACCTCCATAACCACCTACACATCACCTGACACTACTCAATCACCTCCAACTGCTTCACATCACAGTTCACAGCTCCCAACTTCATATCTGCACCTCTGAGCAACCAACTAATCAGACCAGACCAACTAACCAGACCAACTAACTAGACCAACTAACCAGAGCTAACATTTCTACTTCCAGGTGACGACTTCTTGTCCAGTTTCGCCAACGCAGTGGCCCAAATCCTCCAGAACGCCGAAATCTGTATCTTCCAACACCAGATCACGGCACCACGTCGAAAGTTCCGACAGTTCCTCCGTGTCAGCTTCCCTACGGAGCTCTCCACATTCGCAGATCATCCACATTTCAAGGTCGAAGGGTACTTCTGCGAACAGCTCGATCACGAACAAGAGTCACATAGCCACGATAGATAATAGACAACAACAGCAACCGCAACAGGCGCAGCATCAACAACCACTGTTGGATGTTGATCAAGGTTGCATTAATTTTATGGAACAAACACAGTATGCGACTGTTAATCTGCAACCTGTTGTCAGTACTGCTTTTGCGGCACCGGCTACACCGATTATTTCTACGTTGGCAACTCCTGAGGTAATGTTACCTAGAGATAATAAGCCATGAATTGACCCAAAGTAAAAGAAACTCTGAAAATAAATAATGAAAATAAAATTTATAAAAATGAAACAAATAAAGATTCAAAATTTAAGGATTTTGATACTTGGATTTTGTTAAGTTTGAATTGGAGAGTGTATATATATATGTTTGTAGATGTTACATCCACAAGGAATGGTGATGACACCTGCTCAGAATCAGATACAAGATGAACTGCAGCGTAAACATGAAGAGTTGCAGCAGTTGATCGTGCATCAACAAGAAGAGCTTAGAAGGGTGTCGGAACAATTATTTATAGCTAGATACGGAATTCTATCCCCATTACTCAATGTAAGTATATTAATTTCTGAAGTACTCAAGATTAGAGACATTTTAAATTACATCAAAACTGAACAAGATTTCGACAAAATTGTTTATTCTTGAAAATTTGCGGTACTACCAATTTTGGTACCTTTAAAATGTTTTGATAGTTCGCAGTTATAGTACTTTGATTGTTATACAAAAATTATGTAGCATACATTATCAATTTTTATGGGCGCAAACCGATTTTTGAAAATGGGTATTATTATTTATCGAAATCTTGAGTACTGACTTTGAAGACTAAAATTTTGTCAAGGTCCCAAAATTTCAAGAATTCAAAATTGTTTTATAATTCCAAGTGTAGGTATTAGGTAATGAGAAATCTGATAAAACCCCAACGTCCCAACGTTCCAACAACGCCTCAAGGTTCCATAGTCCCAACGTTCCAAAAAGGACTGAAGGTTCCATAGTCCCAACGCTCCAACAACGCCTCAAGGTTCCATACTCCCAAGGTCCCATACTCCCAAGGTTCCATACTCCCAAGGTCCCATAGTCCCAACGTCCCATACTCCCAAGGTCCCATACTCCCAAGATCCCATACTCCCAAGATCCCATACTTCCAAGGTCCCATACTCCCAACGTCCCATACTCCCAAGATCCCATACTTCCAAGGTCCCATACTCTCAAGGCCCCATACTCCCAAGATCCCATACTTCCAAGGTCCCATACTCTCAAGGTCCCATACTCCCAACATCCCATACTCCCAACGTCCCATACTTCCAACGTCCCATACTCCCAACGTCCCATACTTCCAACGTCCCATACTCCCAACGCCCCATAGTCCCAATATCCAATACTCTTAACGTCCCATACTTCAAACGTCCCATAGTCCCAGTATCCAATATTCGTAACGTCCCATAGTCCCAATATCCTTTACTCCGATCGTCCCATACTCCCAACGTCCCATACTCCCAACGTCCCATGCTCTCAACGTCCCGTACTCCCAACGTCCCATAGTCCCAATATCCAATACTCCTAACGTTCCAACAACGTCCCAACATCTCAGTAGCCATGCATCGTCTCAACATCCCAATGTCCCATAGTCCTAACAAGACCTCAGCCCCCCATAGTCCGAATGTTCTAAAATCCCAACATTCCATACTCCTAAAACTACAAAATGCCAAAAGTCCAAGATCCTAAAATCCCAAAATTTCAAAATCCTCTGTCTACACTACTTGACCCAAAAATCCAAACCAAAATGGCGGTCGCATCTCAATCGCTTCTTCAATTACAGGCAAGCATGCCATACAACGCAACGAACGCGTGCCAGCAGATGAACCGCTGCAACACGAACAATTCCAACGTGCAGTTACCCACATCGAACAGCGTGCAAGGTGTGAACGTTCTTCCTCTGCCAATCACCGTGCCAGTGCCAATAGTGCCTACGGAATTGTTCTCTCATCCGTTGACGGTGAGTTCTGTGCCAACTGTTCCTGCCACCATTCAAGGCAACGTCGCCACAATGATACAACCGCAGCAGCTACAACCTCAAACTCAACAACCTCAGCAACAAGCATCGACGCAGCCGAACAACAATGCTCCGGAGCTCGTGCCTTTTCAGATCTGTCCACATCAAGCGGATATATTGTACAACGACATGGAAACGCCAGCGAATCAACAGCGATCGTCGCAGAATTGAGAACCGTTTGACTGAGAGGTTATGTAAAAATTGGGCCCAAATGAACGCGTTACGATGACCGATGTTGAACGATGTTACGATGACCAATTTTGTAAAGAATGTAGGTTATAACTTCGATGAGACGAGTTGGTATTTTCGATTAGAATTGGGTTTTGAAGTTCAGAATGGCGGTCTTCCGATGTGAATGTCTTTGAGATTTTGCGATCGTTCAACTTATCGAATCTTTTGTACATTTTTCATTTAGTTTGTACGTTAAGATCAATTTTTGTTATGTATAAGTTTCGGATGTCGGTTGAAAATGTTACATTTTTATGACATCGATTTATAGCGAATCTGTTAGAATCTGATAGTACATTGTTTTGATACAAAAACGTTTATAGATAAACGTTTATAAAAAATTTTGTTTTTGAAGGGAGAAATAACAGTTTGAAGAGATACTGTCGCCAGTGATTCCCAACTTCTGAGGTCAAAATTGTGTAACTGAAAAATGTCGTGGTTCTATTGTATAGTGATATTTAAGGAACTGTAATCCCGATTTTGTATTACAAAACCTTTCCTGCCGTTTGTTCAGACAAACCTTTGTACAAACATATTGTATGGACCATAATTGAACATAACACAAAATGTGTGGGGGAGAATGGACAGAATAATGGGAACACTATTGTAGTTCTTTCTTTTAATTTGTTAAATTGATAAAGATATTGATGTTTTGTAACAAATTACATTTTCCAAATTTTATAGAAAGTACATTTTTCATAATGTTTAGAGTTTCTGTTATTTCGTCTGTTTTCTGTATTCGTATTACGGTGTCTTGTTATATGGCCCTTTTGTATATGGCTTACAATTTGTGGGGTTTAGGTTCATGTGTCGTTGGATAGTAATATTCCTTGATCTTTGGATATGTATGTGCTTAGATCCTTGTATTCATTCCTATTTCCCTAGATTATTGTATTTATAGATCCTGTAGTGTATCACTATATCCCTAGATATCTAGGTCCCTAGATCCTCAGAACACCAAATATTTCCAAATTCCTATATGTGGAAGTCCCTATCTTCCTAAATTGTATCTCGAAATCTCTATGTCCTGATATTCTTTTATTTCAAAATCTCTATGCACCGAAATCCCTATATTTAGAAATTTCTACATGGTGGAATTCCTGCTGAAATTCATGGTGAAATTCTTTTATTGTGAAATACTTGTGTCATCAAATTTCTATATCTTGAAATTTTAGTATCCTAAAATCCCTGTATCCCGAAATCCCTAAATTTTAAAATTAATTTATGTAAAAATTCCCATGTTCTGAAATCGCAATGTTTCGAAATTCCTATATACCGAAATCCCTAGATCCCGAAATCCCCAGATCCCGAAATCCCCAGATCCCGAAATCCCCAGATCCCGAAATCCCTATATTCTAAAATTAATTTATGCCAAAATTCCCATGTTCTAAAATCCCAAAATTTCTAAATTCTTATATCTTAAAATTCCTATATTCTGAAATTCCTATAACCCGAAATCCCTACACTCCGAAATCCCTATATAACTCTCATCCATTATCTTTCACATCTAAACCCATCTAAACTCTCAAACCATCTTCCCCCTCCAATAACTATCCACAAATATGTGAACCATGGCTGCACCACCTACGGCCATATAGCGAGACCGCTCTAACAACACCACTGTATAAAAGCGTACGAAAACGAACAATAACATCATTATGTGTATATGTATATATTATCCACGAAACTGGTGTTTATCCGTGAAAGTACGAGAGGAAAACAAGAGGAGAATAGTATTTTTTAATTTATTCATGAGAGTACAAAGAATCTTGAATATCAGAAACTGTATGTTCCATGTATTAGGGACAATAATGTATCGTTTGATTTTACGACGTTTCATCGCGGGAAGTACGGAAACAGGGTATATTCACAAATCTATATATTCTATACATATGTATATTAATATATTTTGTTGTAAACGTGTGACGATAGGTTTCCGAGCGCACGTGTACCCGTGGATGTGAGATCAAAATTCGTATATTTTATAATTGTTACGTTCAATATACATATATATACATTCCAAGTAAAATTGTGTGAATGTTCATTCATTGTTATATGGGGTACGTTCAAATTTCGCGGTAATATTCTAGGGCAAACATGGCGATCCTGGGGAATATGTCAGGGATATTCATTTAGGTTAAAACATTCCAAAATTAATTATTCTTGCTCTCCCATGTAATCTGAGACATGTTGAAGGTGATTGACCTAATAAAATTAATATTAATTGAGTTTTTACGAAAATTGAATAGGTAGCGCCATCTCTCCGCCAAACAGGGTGAACTACACACTTCTGAAACTGTAATTTAATTAGTTATCGGTTTTTACCGCTAGATGGCGGTACACAAATGTGGTGATCTTCGGAGTCGTTCAAGAAGAGTTCTATTTTCAAGCCGTTAATAAAGAAGAACTTTATTTGTACTTGATATTCAATTTTATTTATGTTCAATTGTATTTTAAAATGCAAAACGTTCGTTATTCATTCCTTGATCATATCTGAATTCAAAAGCACATATTTAAATTCAATCCAAAATTAATTTCAATAAATCAGTTATTTCTGAAATGTTATTGCTTATTGACTATTTAAAATATAGCAAAACAAAGTCTGTAGCAGTGTTGGGCAGTTGTGAGATTTTATCTCACGCGAGAGCTTTATGCGCATGCGTCAGTTGACGTCATAGCTTTCTGTCAATGCCGTACCTAGCCGGTACACACAGCGGTGACTGATGAGGGCACCTTAATGATCCTACATAATTTTTCAAAAATTCTTATAATTGCACTGTAAACTATGATCGTATAGGTAGGGTTAGATTACATTAGGCCGGTTAGGTTAGTTATATA